GAAATTCTAAGTTCTATACAGCAATGAGGATGGCCACCGATAGAAATCAGTGGAGGCAGGTTGTACACCACCTTACAACCTCGTCAACATAGAGATCATTCTTCATGAAGCGCCGACTAGATCGATCGATATGTGTGCAAGCAAGTATTACAGGCGTGTGGATTAAAATTATGTATAAGATATAAATTTCAATTTCTTGCATGCATTTTATGTTGCAAAAATGATTTAAATAGCTTGTAACAGAAGTTTAAATTATTAATGCGTGCAATATAAAAGCGATCATATGTAGAGTAGTAATATAAAGTGATGGTGGGAGGTTTGAATCGGATCACGATTAGGCGATAAGAGACCGGTACAAGAGTCAAAATATATGAGAAATATGATATAAAGTTTTATTCTATATTATCTTGTTACAAAAGAACAGAAGGTTTCAGTACAAGAAGAAAAGAACGAACAGAATATATATACTTAGGAGTGAAAAAGGTGTTATACTCTTTTTTCTCTCTAGCGAACAGCACTGCAGGGACCAAGCGCACCATCTACCATTACTCCTACTTGCGCTTTAGGACCTGTGTGATATTCGCTACGCCAAGTTTATCTTGTAAAAAATGGTGTTGCTCCTTAGTCAGTGCTTTAGTCATGATGTCTGCAGTATTTTCCTTTGAAAAAATATACTATAATTGTATATCACCTTGCTGGATTTTCTCGCGGACAAAATGATATCTGACATCAATATATTTAGTCTTACGGTGATACTCTGGGTTTGATGTCAATTTCTGAGCTGCTTGATTATCAATATAGACTCGTAACGGCCTAGTATTATGTTGGACATCTTTTAGTATCTTTGTTAGTCAGTCATTGCCTCTTTTATACAATAGATAAGAACAGTGTACTCCGCCTCCGTGGTACTTAGCGCTACGATTGGTTGACGTTGACTCATCCATGTTATTGCTGTTCCGTTTATTGTAAATGCAAAACCTGATGTTGCGCGCCGTGTCTCTATGTCACCGGCGTAATCGGCGTCTGTATAGCCGATCACATCAAAAGAATTGCCTTCTCCGCCGAGTACTAATCCGAAATCCTTTATCCCACTAGGTAACGCATGATGTGCTTGATTGCTTCAATGAGTCTCATTATAGACCGAGATATAACGACTCATCATATTAACTGCGTATGCGATATCTGGATGACTAACTGTCGCTGTGAACATTAGAGAACCGATAGCTTCAACGAATGGTTTGTCACATTCTTCGCCATCACATTTGAATATGCTAGCTGCAGACCAGTTGTCATTGGTGTCGCCGAAGCCCTTGCGTCGCTCATCTCAAACTTATCCAGAACATGTCGAATGTATCTTCTTTGTGAGATCGTAATCAGGCGTTGATCCCTGTTCCTTTTGATTTCCATGCCGACAAAAGTATCTACTTCCCCATATTTGATGGTAAAAGCTTTACTAACAATAAGTGCGTTGATTATCTTCGTGAGTACTTTCTTTGATGATGACGTAATGAGTCCGTCATCGACGTAGATAGTTATGTAGACGACCTCGTTGTCATATTTAGCAGTAAATACACAAGAGTCGCCTTCACATTGTTTGAATTCAAAAGATTGTAACAATTTGATAAACTTTCGGTTCCAGCACCTCCCAGTTTGTTTGAGTCCGTAAAAGGATCGTCTAAGTTTGCACACTTTATTTGGTTGTCCTGTATCTTCAAAACCGGTTGGTTGATACATGTAAATGTCAGCATCAATGTTGCCATATAAGTATGCAATCTTGACATCAAACTGAACAAGCTCCATATCTTCAATTGCTGCGAGAGCGAGAAGAATACGAATTGTTTCATTCCTGACCACAGGTGAGAACACTTCTTGGTAATCAATTCCTTTCCGTTGTAAGAATCCGCGTGCTACTAAACGAGCTTTGTACCGCTCGACTTCGCCATTTGATCTTGTCTTTATCGTGAATACCCATTTGTTAACGATTACTTGTGCTCCTTGAGATAAGTCGATCAACTCCCACGTTTTATTATCTCGATGTGCACTCATCTCTTCGTCCATCGCTTGCTGCCATTTACTTGATTCTTTTAATGCAATTGCTTCTTCGAAACTAGATGGTGTATTAGCATGTATGTCATGGACGATTAGGGAGACCCAATTCGCACTTTTTGTATTTTCCTGCCGCGATTTATCTTTTGTCCTCTGTGGCATTATTATTTGTCCTTGACGGCCATAATCAATCTGAGTTGATCAACCTGATCGTTCATCTAGTGCTATCCGTTCGAGAGTTCCTGTTCTGCAAGTTATCCTTTGACCAAGTGTTGACGATATATCTCGTGTAATATTACTTGTTCCCGGTTTTTCTTCGTGTGATAGCATGGTAGAATTTTCCCTTTCATTCGACTTGTCGCATCCTATGTCTTCTCCGTTTTGTGATAATACATCTTCCAAACGTGATATGTCCGACAATTCCTCGCAGTCCTTCCAGCTATCTAGGTCAGAGTTGCGATCATTCTCATTATCTTTATTGTCGTCGTCGTTTGGTTTCAAAATGGTATTTGGTGTAATCCAGAAATCATTCTGTAAAGGCTTGCGAGCATTTTGCAACATGATACCATCGCGTATACATACATTGTTTGCTACTACGATTTCGCTTAATATTCCATAGGCGATAAATCTTTTATTTCCGATCATAACCAACCATAACCATTTTAGTACTTTTTAGTTCTAATTTGGATTGGTTGACTTTCGGTACCTGGACGAACGCTATTGATCCAAACACAGATAGGTGTTTTACCTCCGGTTTCTTGTTATACCATGCTTTGTCCTCAATCTCTGATGCTTGTTTGTCGTCCGATTCAGAAAATATGCAGCGCAAACAACAGCCTCTGCCCACATTTCTTCAGATAAGCCGCTTCCAATCAACATTGAACGAGCGCACTCAACTAGTGTGCGTACCTCGCGCTCGGCTCTACCGTTTGCTGACGGTGATTTTTCGTGTCGAATTCCCTTTGAGTTGTTGAATTCTTCCATCATTGCATTTATGTATTCCGTGCCGTTATCTGAACGTAATGCCTTGACTCGATGACCTGTTTCTGTCTCACATCGCTCAACAAAATTTTTTCACGATTCGAACACGTCGCTCTTATGGCGGATTGGTTGTACAACTTGAAAACCTGTATGGTCGTCCTTGAATACGAAGAATCTTAATCCTCATGGTGATGGCTTGGGAAATGGACCGTACACATCCGAATGAATTAATTCGCCTAGTTGTGATGCTCTTTTCTCATTTGACGTCAAGTGCGGACGTCGCGTTTGCTTGCCCTGTTCACAAATATCACAAAAGAGATCATTGTTATCTGTTTTATTTACCTAATTGATATCATTCACGGCTTCTAATAGTATTCATTACAGCATCCGTGTAAACATGGCCAAAACGTTTATGCCAAAGATGTAAGCTGTCCGTTTACGCACTGTATCCGGTTATGGCTTCCGTTATAACAAACTGCATAATATAGAAGTTGCCATCGAATATTGCTGAGACGTCGGTTTTACCATTCTTTACAAAAAAGATAGTGCCTGCTGGTCCATCCATGGAATATCCTTGACGCATCATTACCGTTAGCAAGAATAGATTTTTATCCAGTTCCGGTACATATAGTACATCCTTTAATTCAGCGTCCATCCATTTGCCATTTATATGAGTTCGAATGTCGATGCGGCCTCGACCAGCTGACCAGATGTTTGTTTTGTCTGCTATGGCGATTGGTCGTCGCTTTGGTACCATTGATTTAAACCATTCTCTATTCGTCATGTACATTGATGCACCGCTGTCA